AGGCACCTGGGATCCCCGGGGGGGTCGTTCTCTGTCTAGGTTCTATCTTTGCCCCACATCAATTGGGAGGAGGGTACAGCGTCCTCTCTTACTGGTGGCTTGTCCCTCAAAGGCAGGGGCTCTGCCGTAGAACCGGTTTCCACCTGATTGGACTTTACCCTTCAGTACCCTGGAAAGTTCTCGATGGACGGTAGGCATTCAGGAAATACTGGCTGGATAAATGAAAGATGCGCCTCCTGTTCCCCGAGCCCTTAGTCTAAAGGGACAGGGACCAGCATGAACAGACGTGGGCGGATCCGTCTCGGTTCTTTACCGCCCCCTCCTCCTTTCCTTCCGAGTGGGCTTCCTGCACACAGTACACATCTCGTACAGAGGTGTCGGAGTGGTTATCTACACAGGCTTCCAGCTGTCGCTTGTCATTAATACAGGGCAGGATCAAAGGATGTGGGGTGACGGCATTCAAAAGCTTTCACATCCCGATAGCCCACCTTGACCTTGTTGATTCCATTGCTAGCTGTCCGTGCTGGGCATGTAACCTGCCTAGATGCCAGGCTGGGGTGACATCCCCCGGGGGTTTCTGTACGGTCAGAGGGGGTGCCCCAGGGGAGACTGAACGGAAATGAGTTCTGAATAAAGTGTGGAAAGCAGAAAGGTGCACTGCACGGTGGAGAAAATGCAGGAAATGGCAGGGGACGAAGCCAAGTGTCTGGCCAGGAGCAGGGGGCTGCGGGGTCCTAGTCAGGGTGGCCCCCGAGACTGAGGCTGGGCGGTCATGGGCTGCCTGCCCACTCTCCTGCCCCCCTTTCTCTGTGGCTGTGGCACCTGGTGTTGGTGCTGCGTGTGCGGGCGGGGCCGCAGGACTAGCCCGTGTTTGCGTCGCCCACAGCCGAGGTGGGGACGACGTGGTGAGTGGAGACACAGCTCCTGGCGTGGCGGGAAGACCCTCGGAGGGCCAGGTGTCAGGACACGCTCTGCAAACCAGCCACGCGGACCTGGGCGATCAGCCCCGTCTCCGAGCTCCGGTTCCCTTGTCCGCCGAGTGCGGAGCCTGGACCGGGTGCTCTTCCCCTGGAGGGGACCCGGTAGTGGGCACGGGTGGCCCTGCGCAGGGTGGGACGTGAGCCTGTGCCCCCCTGAGATGGTTTTGAGAGTGGGGAGCTGGAGGCAGGCAGGGACTTTACAGCCAGGAACGCGCTCACGGCCCTGAACACTCGGGACCCTCTGTGTGTCCCTGCGGTGGGTGCCTTCCTGGTCCTGCTGCTTCTCTGGAAGTTCCTGCTCGACCTTGGAGCCCCAGCTCAGATGTCCCCTCCTTGGCATCTCGGGGTCCTTAGCACCCGGCACACGACCTGGCAGCCTGCAGGCCAGCAGGGCACGGGTCAGCGTGCCTTGCCCCGGACATCACTGGTCACATGCATCTTTGCCTCCCTGTGTCCCCCTCCAATAGTAGAGGCTGGGATTAAGGAGTGAAATGCTGGTGACGGAAGTGAAGGTGGAGGCACTGGCTGTGGGTCCCCTGCCCGTCCCCGAGCAGCGCTGGGTTGGTGGCTGGCTTCCCTGCCAAGCTGCGGCCTGTTGAGTTGGAACAGAGGGGTCGCTCTTGTTCTTTTTGGGTCCAATGGTTCTGCTTGAACTACGTGCACTGACCCTTCTCCTGGGGAGGGTGGTCTCTCACCCCCCCCCCCCAGTGGCTTGGGGGACAGCCTGACTTTTGTGCAGTGAGGTGCGGCTCCAGGGAAGGCTGTGGGGGTAGAGTGGAGGAGAGACAGGGTCTTACTTCTGGTCTCTGTGACTCCGATTTCCGCTTCTCGGGTCCCTCCCACATCAGAGATCCTTGGGGCTGATCGTTCATAAGAGTCAAAGATAAGTTTGAACGAGGGGGAGGTGGGAGAGCGAGCTCTTTTTAGAAGAACAGCTTTCACAAGTCTGTAAATAAAAGCCGATCGCCCTGGTTTGGGTTCTCTCCAGAAACTTTATTCCCAAGCTATTTATTTTCGGTTCCTATTTTAAATTTGTTTTTGGCAAAAGAAAAATAAAGGCACTCGACTACTTTCTGTTCTCTGGTAGGAAACTCTCACACTCGGGGTGACCCGGAGCGGCCGGTCAGCCAGCGGACGTGTGTTTCGGCGGGTCGGCTGCGCCGGCAGTAGGCTCCGCGCCGGATGGTGCCCCAGGGCAGCCTGAGAGGCACCGGGCTGTGGGCTCTATGGGGAAGTTCTGGTGTGTTCGCGAGGAGAGAAATTTGTGTTTCAACCTCAGCCAGATCCACACGAAGAGGTTATCTGATGGGCCAGGCTGGGACAGCCCGAGTGTCAGAAAATGACGACCACAGTAGATGAAAACCCTTTAAATATAAGTATATGGGATCAGCATGACACGGGAGATGGTGAACGAGGATGAGGATGGTGATAATGAGGCAGAAACTGATGGATCACCGTTGGCGTTGCTGGCACCATTCCATTATTTTGAAGATTTACAAGGGAAAGAATGTTTGTAAACGTGGCACCAGCAGGGAGGCCCAGGAGGGACGGCGGGCAGTTCGCCCCCACTGGCTGTTCTGTGCCAGGGCGGCCGACTGCCCGGGAAGGGAGGGCAGGTTCCTTCCCCCAGGTGGCCAGGGGGCTGGGAGGCGGCCCGCGCCGTGAGCAGGGGGCGGCTTCAGTCCCTGCTCCGCCTCTTCTGCACCTCGAGACCTTGGGGAAATCACATCAGCACTGTGAGCTCCCTGTGTTTTTCAGAAGACGACAGGGGTGGCGGTGATCACGCCTCAGAGTTACCCGGGTAAATTGAACACAAGGTTCAAGGCCACCTAATCACGAGAAGCGGCTTCCCTCCCTGCCCTCCAGTTCTCCCCTGGAGTGGCCCTGAGGGTCCCAGGGCCTCGTGGCCTCAGCGGGTCTGTTTCTCTCCCCTGCCAGAGTGGCGTCACCGGACGTCGGCTGGTGGCTGTGGCTCCTTCTGAAACCACACTGGAATTGCCCACATCTCAACCACCCGTCTTGAAATCGTTAAAATAGCGTGTGGTCGGACAGGGGCTGGCCTCCACGGTTGACCACAGGTTCTGGATTCTTGAAGAGTCTTGCGAAACAGAAGGTGGGACCGACCCGCCTCCGAAGTGGAGCCGTGGAAACCCCACAAGTGGGCCCCTGGGCTCCGGGCCAGGCCGGCCGCTCGCCGGTGGAGCTGAGCAGGAGGGGAGGGGGCCGTGGGGCCAGACAGACCCGGGTTGGAGCCTGCACAGCCCCGTTCTGCTCCGCTTCCTGGCTCAAGTCATTTGCTGTCTTTGGGCCCCGTTTCCTGTTGGGGTTATGGGACAGAAGACATGTCATAGAAAGCTGGTGTAAGCTCCAGAGAAACAGTTCTGTTCAGTGTAAGCGACGTCTGGCCGCCGTGAACTCTTATCAGTGCGGTTGGGTGTGTGCTGAGTGTGGCTGGACTCTCACCCTTCCTCTGTGTGGCACCTTGACCTTGTGAGTGTCTCCCCACAGGCCTTCAGCCGAGACAGGGCCCCGTGGGAGGGAGTGACGCAGCACAGCCGCCCACGTTCCCCGGACGGCGGAGGGCTGGGCTCTTCTGCTCTGCCCACGCGGCACCCATGTGTGTCTCTGCCTGTTGGCCGAGCCTGGTCTTAGGGACGCGGGTCTTTTTCTGGAATGTCAAAAAAAAAAAAAAAACAGTAAAGGAAAAGGGCTTGAACAGTGAAATGAATTGTCTATTGTGTTTGTTAGATCCACTCAGGAATCCCCTAAGACATGTAAATGCCACTGGAGGTCAAGGGCAGGGCGCCTCCCCAGTTGGATGGGTGGTAACAGCGTTCACAGGTCGGAGGGATCCGGCTCCGGGCAAGGGCTGTGCCCCCCACCACCCCACCCCGCAAATAAACATTCTCTTCCTTGGCCCCAGTTGTTAGGCCCCACCCAGGCATTGGCTGTGGCTGACCGTGGCTTCATTACCCTGGGGAAGCTGGTAGAGTTCATGTGCAAGTTCATGTGGCGTGTCTGCCTGCCCTGTCCTGCCTGTGAAGTGGTCATGTTCCATTTCTAATTGAGAGGATGAAGAGCGGACATTGGGTGTCCGTGCAAACGGAAGTTGTTTCAGCACAGACTGGCTGGACTCATTTAGAGGGTCTCACCCAAAAGGGAGGGTGTTCTGTCCAACCACATGACGACACCAGCATTGCCTGTGTCCCCTGCCCCCACCCCGTCCCCAGTCGGAGGTCTGGGGCGGGATTCTGGAGTCTAGTCTGATGAGGACCCGCGATGGTGCCCACAGTCCGCAAGAGCCGGGAACCACTGGGCTGCAGACCCTGCATCCAGGCGCCCACTCTGTAAGGCGCTGCTCTGAGGCCTCAGACAGTGAGATGCCGTCGGCTGGGTTTGCTCTTTGTGTCCCGACCTCCGCAGGTGTGCTGTCCCTCAGTTCAGGCACGTGGATGAATGGAACCCAGCCGCTGTCCTCTCTCCATATCAGGGAGTACACGTACCAGGCAATCCCAGTGTGGGATGCACAGGAGTCAGGGAAGGCGGGGCCTGGGACAGAAAATGCACCCACCTGCCTTTGCTGCCCTGGCCCCAGCTTCAAGGACCAGGCTCTGCCTGCGCTGGAAGGAGGTGCTGTGGCCAGAGTCATGAGTTTCACACTAGACACGAGCTGCCCTCTCTCACAGGGGTGACTGGGCAGGTGGCTTTTGCCACGATGCAGGAAGAGTCCTCAGAGATGTGGAAGGCGTTGGGGTGGCCTTGGCAGTCTCATCCGATGAGCTGTAGGCTTGGGGGCTCCCTCCTCCCCTTCTGCTTGTCATGCTCGGGCTTGGGGACCTGTGGCCAGCACAGCACACTGTCGTCATGACAGCAAAGTCACTTCTGCTCCTGGCTCACCTTGCTCGACCTGCCTCAGAGTTGTATTCTGCTCACGTGTCCAGTTTTGTCCACAGCCGAGAAGCAGCTGGTGGGGCAGGGCGCGCGGGCCGGTGCACTGACGAGTCTCTCGTTGCCGCGCAGCTCACGTGGAGAACGAGGAGCAGTACACCCAGGCGCTGGAGAAGTTCGGTGGCAACTGCGTGTGCAGGGACGACCCAGACCTGGGCAGTGCGTTCCTCAAGTTCTCGGTGTTCACCAAGGAGCTGACGGCGCTCTTCAAGAACCTGGTGAGTGTCCTCCTGCGCCTGCTGCCGCCCCGGCGGCGTAGGAAGCCCTGTACCCCTTTGGCGGGCGAGGTGGTCTCGAGAGGATCTTTAAGGTTTGTTCTCTAAGCTGCGAATGTCCTCACTCACGGGGTCCCGCAGGCACCGCATTGTCCGCACACATTAGGTCACTCTGGAATCCACCTTAGAATGGGGACACTGGGTGAGTCTTTGAAAGCTCAGCTTGGCCTTTCCACTGTGCACAGCTGTGGGACGAAGTGCGTGAATGCGTGTTTTCAGGGGCCCCGACTCCCATTTTTAATAGGTTTTAAATGGCGCAGCCGAGTCCGCTCCTGGTAATTGCAGTCGGTGTTTAAACCTAAAATATTGAATAAACATGTCTCAGACCTGTCTTGCAGAGCAAGGTAACCTGAATCAGAGCCCAGAAATTACCGTGAATATTTTAAGCCCTTTCTTCTCCCAAATGTGGAGCCTAAAAAGCAGGCCTCACGTTTAAGGAAGTGTGGAAGCAGGGAGCTGTGCTTCGGGCCTGCGGGGGGTGCCTGGGAAAGCAGGGCGACTGGTGTTCTTTCCGGCAGCCCCCAGCCGTCCCAGTCCCCGCCCCTGCCCCCGTCCTCCGGTGGGAACGGAATTCTGAAGAAGCGGGCAGCCTGCGAGGGCGTTTGGGTCCGCCGGGTCATTTCTTCCACCGGGGGAATGTCCAGTGGGGCCGTCCCAGCATCTCCTTCCTGTTTTTCTCCCCCAGCTTCTCCCAGAGGTCACGGGCGACCAGACTGGGTTGGGAACTCAGCGATGCTTTCTCTGCAGGTCACAGACAACAGAGTCCTTTTCATTGCTCCTGTCAGTAGGCTCATAACAAGTGAAAAAATAGGTCCTTGTTCTCGAAGTGGCGATGGGGGCGGGTGTGCCAGCCTGGCCTTGGCAGGGCCAGTGCCAGGGGACCCCCACAGGAGTTCATAACAGGAGGGGTCCCCCACCCTCCCGGCTCCACGTGCAAAGTGTCCCAGTTGGAAATGATGAAAAAAAGTTGTTGCCGTGCTTAAGGTTTGATGGGTTTTTTTTGTTTGTTTGTTTGTTTGTTTTGTTTTGTTTACTTGGCTTAATTTGAAATCTCTTGGGTCTTCCCTCAAGTCTGTGGCCTGTGTAGTCTGGCCCCAAACGGGCCGCCAGCGTGCTCGCTGAGTGTCCGAGCCCCGCCCCCTTCCGGCCCCGCTCCCCGTACACGGGCAGATGTGCCGACCTCACCACCGAGTCAGACTGGAGCTTGTTTACTCTTTTCCCTTGAACTGGAGAAGCCAAACGGCCCCAGGAACAGTGCTGTCGATGGTGACATGCGGGTCTTCTCGTGACAGCGTCAGCCTGGCCTCCCAGCCCCTGGCGGGCACCGTGGAGCAGCTCCCTAGTGCCCGCCTCTTCCACAGACCAAAGTAAACAAGAAAGGAAATGGAGGCGAGGGAGGAACAGCAGGAAACGTCTAAAGACACCGAGTTCAATTCCTCAGGGAAATCAGAGTAGACACGGCTTCCGAAAAAGGAGTCGGGTGCAGCTGTTAGAGAGCGGGGAGCCCGTTAGAGTAAGAAAACATCAAAGGAAAAATCCCGGGAAAAGGCTTGGAGTGGAAGTCACCTCTCAAAAAATAGGTTGAAAAGACGAAAAAGTAGGAACCGATAAAAGACCAAACGAGAGTTAACCTCCAGGTTCAGTATGCGACCGACAGGCATTTCAGAAAGAGAGACTCGAGCCGAGGGGCCTTTGTGGGCTCCAGAGAGCACAGGAGGCTCTGCACAGTGAAGGCTGTGCCAGTGTCTGGCCTAGGGACAGAGAGGACCTGTCCCCAGGTGTCTCTGTGTGAAGTGGCAAAAGACCCTGAACGCTTCCCTGAAGTGCACGGGATTAAGAGCCGCAATGGCCCTGGACTTGTCGGCGCGCACCTCGGGGAACGTGAAGGTCTGGAGCAGACCCCTGACACACCCGGGAACCCTCTTCCACCCTGGAGGTAACACCCAGCCAGCTGAGCACCAGAGTCAGAGGCCCGCCCGTGCCTGAGGCTCGGGAAGTTCCGCCCCCGCACGCCACCTCTGGGCAGCCCCTGAAGGGTGTGCTTTGGCAAAGTGGAGAGGGAAGCCGAGAAAGGGTGAGTCAGCAGGTAGCACCCAGCCACTCGAAGCAGGGCAAGGGGTTCCAGGAGGAGGCACCGGAGGGCCCACGGGGTGGCACGCAGGAGGCCAGTCCGTCCCCCACACCAAGACACTGTCTGCATTCAGCTGACCCCGCCATGGGTCTGGCCGGTGCCTCCGGGAGCACGCCAGAGTCCCTGCAGCCAGCGACTTAGGGGTGCTGCCACCCCGTGGGCGCCGTTCGGGAAGCCCTGGCCTGGCCTGGGACTGAGTGGGGAGTCAGATCTGGGTCTTAACACCCCCTACCTGTCCTCTTCCCACTGCGGTGTTGAAACTCCATGAGGGGAAGGACCCAGCCGAGGGGCGGTGAGCAGGTCAGTGCAGCAGACGGCCGCCCTGCCGGCTGGGGCTTCCTCAGAGCAAGGACAAGAAAACCGTGCCCCTTCGCAGGGCCACCTGAGGCCACTGCCAAGGTCAGAGGTGTAAAAGCGCAAGGTTTTTTTGTAAGTTAAAGCCCAGCCCACAGGCGACATGTTAGTGTCAGTATGATCAGCTCATTCCTCGGCTGTCCTCACTTGAAGTCCACGTGCTGCACTCTGGTTTTGCTTTGACTTCGTGGAGGTGGGGTTGTTGACCCCGCTTCCTGGCAAAGGTCAGAGTGCGGGGGGTGGAGAGACAGGGAGAGAGAGAGACAGACAGAGAGGGGGGACCAAGTGGCTGCTTCTACAAAGCCGTTGCTGAGAGTGAGCTGATCATAGGAAAATTCTCCTTTTTTGGTATTTCGTATACCATTCCGATTCCTATTTTTGGTCACATCTCTCCTATCTCTTATTTTTAAAACCTTGTGTTTGCTCTTCCCGGGGCATATAAAAAACCTTGCCATTCTCCACGGCTCAGAGTCTTGATTCTGCCTCTTGTTGGGAAGAATAATAATTACCACCCACCTGCTCCGGTGTGAAAAGAGTGTGTATAAAGCAGCTGGAGCACCTCCAAAGGAGGCCAACGTACTACACAGCGAGACTTGCTTACTGACGGGTGGGACTCTCACCTTCAGGAATCTGTGGGTTCTCTCTGCAGCTGTGCCGGGGGGAGGAGGCAACGGGGCATCCCGGAGATGTAACACGTGTGTTAAACCGCCTACACGGTCAGCCCGGTGTCTTGGGCTCCTTTCCTCTCAGCAGGTGGCTATGACAATGCCGGGGAGGTCCGAAGGCCACATCTGTGCCGAGAAGCGCCTTTTCCATGAATGAGTGGCCGCCTGAAAGGATGCGTTTCTGAGTGGGCGGTGGCAGGTCTGCAGCCTCTGCCTCCGGCTGCAGAGACTCGGTGGTGGTGCAGGTTCTCCAGGCTGCGGAGCCCGCTCTGAGCGTGGACCGCCGGGCCCACGGACGATGGACACCCAGTGCGAGACCCAGGAGTGCCTGGCCGAGGACTGTCACATCACTCACCCTGATCACGAAACGTGAAAGTTCCACCAACCAGCGTGCACATGTCATGCTTTTTGAGGTTTTTCCACAAGTGATTGGAGCTAGAGGACGTGATAGACAGAGTCAGGAGCTGGTGAGGGTCATTTGGGGGATGAGGGGTCGCGCGTGGCTTTGCCTGGGTGTTGCCGCGAGCAGTGTCTGGCCGAGAGGCCTCCCCGCCGGCCACACTGGCCCCAGTACAGCAGGTGCATCAGTCTCAGGTCAGACAGGAGCTGCTTCTCCGTGGTCGCAGTGCTCCCCTTTTTTCTTATGGAGCAGGGGCACCAATCATAATTTCATCTTTTGGGGAAGGAGACGTGCCCTGGCTTGGGGGCATAAATGCGTCGTGGACTGAGCTGTGATCTGGAGACGCCTCCAGTGGCTTGTCAGTGATGTTGGGAGTGTCCGACTGGGGCCAGACTGTCTCTTTCCATTTCCGGCAGCTGCGATTTAATATTCCGACGCTCGTCCCTCCGATTGCTGTGACCGCTGCCTGTCTCTTCCGCACACTGCGCCGCGGGCCGGGAAGCGAGATGACTGAGGGCGTGAGGCTGGTGGCGAAGCAGAAACACGGTCCCCGTGAGAGTGAGGGGCGGGGGCCGGGGCTGCCCTGGGGGCCGGAACTCTCGACGGCCCCTGGCAACCTCTCTGCACCCGGAACCCTGCCACCAAGAGCTCACCCTGGCCTCACGCACGGTCGGAAGCCTTCGGGCTCCCGAGGCTTCCCGCTCACGAAGCTGCTTCCTCCGCTCTCAAGTCCCGGAGCGGCATGCAGACTCGTCCCCTCACTGGACCGAGGCAGCAGAAGCCACAGGCCGCACCTCGGCGGTGCTGCGTGTGAATCAGACTTTGTTGCTGATTCTATGTTTTTGGAAAAGCAGTGCCACCAAACCGTCATCTCCGTGGTGCAGTGACACGTAGAGGTCAGAGGGAAGGTCAGAGGAAGTGGGAAAAGCCTCCGGGAGAGGGGCAAGGCGGTGGACGCCGGAGGGGCGCCCGGCTGAGCAGGGTGACTGATGGGGTGCTGGGTGCTGGGCCCCCTCGGGCACAACGCAGGGTCGTGAGTGCTGACGACTCCCATCTGGCCTGAGACACACAGGCACTGGGAGTAGAATGTGCTTCGTGCTGTGGTGGCCGCTGGACAGATGCCACGGAGCCCTGAGGGGGCAGCGCCGGGAGGCGGGGCAGTGACTCCGTCTGGCCTTGCATCCCTGGGCCCCTAGGGTGGCGGGGGTGGGGGAGGCCTGTGGGCTGTCACAAGACGCCCTCGGGTCCCTGTGCACACAGCATGATGGCATGGTTTATGGACACGTGTCACTAACACGTGACAGGCGTGTGGAGGCCATGCTGTTTGGGTCGTTAGCGTGAGTGAACTGCAGACAGACTCTGCTTCCGTTTTCTTTTGTTGTTATGTGTTTTC